CTGAGCCAAAGGCGCCCCATATACCTGCTTTTTAAAAACCGCTGGAAAAGTTTCCATCTAAAAAGGCGCTGGTGAATGGTGGAGTCTGGAAGCGGAAAGCACTCTGTCTGGCCCGTGGCCTCTGGGCCTGCTCGCACGCGGCCAGCTGGAAGGCCCCACGGGTCCAACCTCTGCTCGCGGGGGCTGCCCGTCTCCTGAAGCATTCAAACTACTTCCATCACAGACAGGGGGCCCATCGCTGTGAGGCCCTTCCCGCTCCCGGGCTTCCAAGATCAAGGAAACGCTCGTGCAGTGGACTCACGATTCCACCGGGTGTGAATGACGCTCCCGAAAAGCGCCCGCCCCCTACCCCCCCGGAGGAGGAGCCCACACTCCTCCCCTCCTCTGTGGACATCTGTTACCTCTGCACACAGGGTGCCTTATCTGTGAGGAGACAGCCCACCAGACAGGGCTCAGTGGGCCTAACACTGGGGCCCTAAGGGCAGCACCGCGCTCACCACACGGTTGCGGAGACAGGCTGCCAGGCTGAGGGGCTTGGAAGTCGGGGTCGGAGCCACAAATAACCCGAACATGGTTTTCTTCAGGAAAACATGTGTCCAAACACCCCAAGCAAGTCCCCCCAGCGTCTGAAAAGGCCCCATTACTTGGCGCTGTGGGTTCGCTCCAAGATTCTCGGGTGACCACCGAGGCCAGATGAGCATGGAGATAAATCAGGAAAGAGCCAGCAGGACGGCCGCGGGTGCGCAGGCAGACAGACCGCCTGTTGGGGCAGTGGCTCGGCTCCTTGTGCTAGGAGCACCCGTGGGGGCGCCCGCATGTCTGCATGCCCGCCAAGGCTCCCATCGTCCCACAAAGCTGCAGAGAAACACCCAGACTGTGGCCTGCGCTGGAACTGAGATCGGTAACTCCATCATCAGCCTACTCTTTCTTTCTCTTGCTGAATGAACAGCCAGGACAAGGAAAGCAAAACAAACAGCTTGGTGGCGAGTGGGGGCAAAAGGCCAGGGAACAGGGATCGGCTGCACATGGGCAGGTGGGACCCCTCCAAGGTGACGGAGAGGTCCCTGAAGTGGGCCGTGGTGAGGGCTTCTACTAAGTATCAGTGAACTGTATTTTCAGAACAGCGGAGTTATATGGTGTCTATCTCAAATAAAGCCATTTTTAAACACGTAAAGGTGTCTTAGTGACAAGAGTCAAGACACACGCAGGGGGTCATCAGTGCCGGTATTTCAGAACATGACATGAGAGGCGGCTCCCCCCAGGCCCCGCAACCACTAATCTTCCCATCTGCATGGACCGACTTCTCCCGGACACGTCCTCAGTGGGCTCACAGAACATGTGGTCTTTTGTGGTGGGCTTCGCCCACTGGTAAGGTCCCTCCAGCCTGTGGAAGGTGTCAGTCCACCACTCCTTTCTATACGGTGCGTGGGTGTACGTTTCCTTATCCATTCCTCCGTCAACGGACACTTGGGCCGCTTCCACCGCGGCCAGTGTGAGGAGAGCGGCTGTGAACACGGGTGTGCGAGACGCCGGTGGGAGAAGGCTGTCTGGACAGGCCATGCCGTACAGCACAGCCATGTCCACAACCTGGGCTGGGCCGTGGGCAAAGCCAAGGGCAGATGCTCTTACTGCTGAGAACACGAAGTCCGACCGTCCGGTGCTCACACACAAGGACGAGACGTCCCAAGACAGCGTGTTCTGGGACAGAGGGCGGGTGGGAGAGTTACTGCTCCCTGTATGGGCGGTCCCAGAAACTCAGGAGGAGCTGCGGGCACAGGCAGACCGCTGCCAATGCCCACTCGAGTCGAACAGCCCACCCAGCTGCCAGGCAGGCCCCGTGCTCCGGGGGCAGAGGGAGGGCAGGGGAGGGCGTGGGGTCAAGGGCACACCTTCTTTCAGGCTTTCGCTCATGTCCAGTATCCGACACACTCCTACCTCCTCGCTGGCGTCTGCACTTGGCACTGAGGGAGCGTGGGCCGCACAAGGGATGGGGCGGCACAGCACTCCGTCCCAGAAGCCATGTCTTCCTGCACCCCAACCCTGATTCAGAGCATGCAGCCTCGGGGCGCAGACAATCCAGCGGGGAGTAAATCAGATCCATGGAAATGCTAAGACAGGATGTGACAGAAGGTGGGGACGAGTCCTCGAGGCACCTCGGGAGGAGGGCGCTGGGATGTCCGAAAGGTAGATGGACGGTGGGCTGGAGAGGGATCCAGGCCAGGCTGGATCTGGGGCTGGGCTGCAGAGGCCGGCCCACGTCAGACCCATGCGGGACCCTCTCTTTGTGCGGCTCATGCTGTCTGGCAGAAACCTGCGTTTACGACGGTCCCTGGCCTCACACATCCAGGTGGGCCCGCTCATCTAAGCCTCAGATGACCACACGCGGCACTGGCATAAATACTGCATCTGGCTGGAGCTAGCCGGCCTGCCCTCACCACCCCCACCCACCTCAACGCCTCGGGCTCTCCCCTCCCCTGGGGACCAGAATTCAGGCTATGAGCGCGGGTGGTTCTCTCAGCAGCTGTGTTTGCCCTGTGTTTCACCCCTCTGCCCGCGGAGGGCCGGCCCAGCGGCCAAGGTGCCCACGAGAACAGGAGGCTCCTGTGTTGTGGTGGTTCTCGCGGCCCGCCGGCCAGGGACTGGCTGCCGGCAGTGTGAGCTCGTGGCGGCCGCGCAGCCTCTCGGCCAGCAGCAGCTACGGCGCAGACAGAACACGTTTCCGGACACTGCAGAAAGGAGCCAAACCATACACCAGGCCTCCCAGCGGAGGCAGCTGGGGAGGACAGTGTGGTTTTCTCAGCTTAACAGAAGAGCAGGAGGTCAGGGCAGGGAGAGGCCAGCTGGGCCAGCTGGGCCCGTCGCTCTTCAGTAGCTCAGACATTTGCCCACGAGGCTGGGAGAGTCCAGAGGGTAGGCTTCTTTCTCTAAATCGGGGCTCTCAAAACCCCCAAGCCCCAAGCTCATGCGAGCAGGAGGAAGGATGCCCCAAAGCGTAGGACAGACGTGGTTACTGCTCCCTGGGGACTCACTCTGCCTAAAGCGGCCCCAGATTTCACTTATGGGAGCAACGTCCCCATGACGCCAGCAGAGCCCACACATGAGCACCATCCACATGGAGCGGGGCTCCCACCACACCTCCTGTCCCCAGGAGGGACCCCTCCCTGTGGCAGTGCCCTGGCCCCACGTAGCCCAGCCAGGCTTCTGACAAGCCCGATGAGGCCCACCCACCAGCTCCATCACCCCGAGGCATCCTTCCAACAACCGGGCGCAGCTCTGTAAACCCATTCACAACAGGAAAGGTGGGAGGCCCACGGTCACCAGCTGCACGTTCACACTCAGAGCCCAGAGAGCTCGCCGGGGTCGTGCACAAGGGCTTGGACACCAGCAGGCTGAGGGAGGCATGCCAGCCACGCAGCAGCTCGGGGCACCTCTGCTTGCTTGTGTGCCTTGCTTCCCCTGCTGGCCACACACACTTGTCAGGGCCTGACTCCAGGCTGGGTCCTTCCCTGCGGGTACCCGTAGGCGGGGCTGATGGCCACAGGGGTCTAACAGCAAGGCACCTGGTAACCCTGGGAGCCGAGAGGCGGACGCAGGCCAGTGACATTGACAGGGACCCAGCCTCTCCCTCCAGGCCTCAGGTCTCCCATCTCTAGAGGAGATTAGCCCCTGTGGGCGGTCCTCAAGCCTCCGTGAGGCTTCCCACTCCTGAGCAAGCTCCCAAGCAGTTGCTCGGACCCGGGGCTCTGGGAACAGAGGCCCCAGGCCGGCTTGCTCTCAGGTGCTCATCAGCAACAACACTGTAGGACCCATGTGGGGGGTCCAAGTTGTAAGAGATGTTCAGACGAAACATGGTCTCTGACCCCAGCCTGGGCTCAGCGACCGAGGGGGCCCTCAGGGGCATTCTTTGCCTCCCTAGGGCCTCTGTGGGTTTTCCCTGGAGCTCACGCGGCCGTGGATGCCATCAGTGACCCCAGGGGGCTGCGTGCTGCACAGAACGTCCTCCAAGTGCTCCTCTACCTTACGCAGGGCCAGCTGCACAAGGGACGCAGGTGCGTAAAGCGGGCTCTGCATGTTGCGTCTCCAGCCGGGGCTGGCCCGGGGACAGCGGCCAGGGAAGGCACACAGGCCTCCAAATCTATTGCTGAGCCCTTGCTTCCTTTAGGCAGGTCCTCTCCATCAGGAATTTGGGGGCTCCCAGGCCACTTCCTGACTCCCCCAAGGCTCAGGACCATGTGGACCCTGTCCTCCCTCCGAAATGCTTACCTGCCCTGTGCCCAGCCTCCTTGCCAGGGCGCGGGTGACCAGATGTGGATGACCCGTGCAGGCAACAGCGCCCTGACTCTGCCTGACCCCGAGTGAGGCTCCAGGCACAGGTCTGCGGGACAGTGTGTTCAGGACTCGGGCTCACTGACGTCCACCCTGCTGTCAGGGGACAGAGGGCAGTGCCCGGTCGGGGTGGCACCAGTGCTGGCCCTGGAGCGGAGCACACTAAGGGGGAAGGCTTCAGGGGACTTCCCTCCGGCTACACAGGTCGGGAGCACTTTTCCCTATGTTATGGGTGGGGTTTTAGGTCCTATTTTAAGTTGCAGACGTTGCACACTTTCTGGGAGGGACCGTTTTGTGAACGGGCCAGTGTGTGGAGTCTGCAGGAAAACCGCTGGATGCCCACAGACACCGGGGGCAAAGGCACACACATTACTTCTTCTGTCTACGAGACGAGGCTACCTCGCTACGTAGGCCGATTTGAATGTTTCTGGGTCACATGGCCAAGCCACACTCTCCTTAAAATGCAATGTGTGTGGTTTCAGTGACTTAAGACTGAATTCCCGTCTTCCTTACAGGACTGTCGGTCTGTGCCTGCCGTTTCCAGCGAGCCCAGAGCAGCTGAAGGAGAGTGCAGGCTGGAGACGAAGGAGGCGCGCCGGGGCCCCGCACAGGTGAGCTGCCGGCCCTCCCGGCTTTCTTCTCTTTCCCTGCTTCTGGGTGCCCCCCCTCCCCCGCCGGCTTACTGGGACTAAGCGCTGGCAGACAGCGCGGGCTGACGGGTGGTTTCACGGCTGAGCGCCATTTCTCTCTGAAAACTAAGGTTCCTTTAAACTATAGGTTGGCTCCAGTAAAAACTAAAACGAGACTTATTTTTCTAGCATTTCGACCTGGAAGTGACTGAGCGGACTGCTCAGGTCTTCCTCACTAAGCAAAGACTGATAGTGGCTCTAGTTCTGTGTCCCGAAGACGGACGGAGTCAGAGCAGGCTTATTATCAACTGTCAGCACACACATCTGGGCGCCGACCGAAGCTGCCAGGGGCGCTCCTCGCCCTGCGTCTCCATCCTAGGGCACAGACGTGGAGAGCTTTCGGTCTGGCAGAGTACAGTGAACGTCTTACCCAGGGCACATCTGGAACGTATATGTTTCATAGGGCGCGAAGCCTGGAATGGGGGGCCTCTTTCCACAACCGTGGCGGGGCGGGGCGGGAAGCCCAGACCCGGCAGTGTTCCACCCAGAGGGTGGAGCCTAGGAAGGAAAGGAAGGTTCAAGTTTTCAAAGCAAGCAGGGGCAGCCAGCCTTCTGCACAAGGCAGGCTTTGTGTTCCGGTGACGCTCAGTTGGCTCTCCGTGACCACCTGAATCCCCTCTGTAAGGGGAACCCCCACGTGCCCCCTCGTCTGACAGAATCTTCACAAAGATGCTCGGGGCTGACATGCTGTTGACACACACCCAGGAGCTGATTAATTTGTGCAAGACCACTATGGAGTGAAACGCTGGGCTGTCCACCGCACAGAGGAGCGGTGTTCACCTGCTGCTGGGACAGGGCAATGACAGAAGCCCACGGAGCAGAGCCCTCCAGGACCTCTGGGAACAGGGCTGGGCCCTGCACGTGCCCCTCAGCCGGGGGCCCGAGGAAGGTCAGGGCAGCAGAGGACAGGGCTGGACGTAAGAGCTGGGGATGGCAGGGCAGAGACCGCCGGGGGAGGGGTCCGCAGGGCCACAGCAAACCCTCGCCAGGCGCTGCAGTCCAGAGCACAGGACATGGCATCACCGCAGGGGCCGTGTGGGGAAGGACAGAAACAAGGGTCTGGCAGCCAGCCTGGCCGTACGGCGTGCCACGGCCCTCACAGAGCGCCAGCGTCAGATGCCGTCCTGGGACCGGCATGAAGCAGACCGCAGAAGGCCACAGAACGTCAACACCCTCCCGCCTGGTCCAAACGTGCGCTCCGCCTCTTTACCAGTGACGCCACACCCACCCTCAGGCAAGCCCACGCAGGACCCCGGTCGTGGTACAGCCCCCACTTTCTGACAGACAGCGTCCACTTCCTCAAACCCTCCTCCAGATCACCCACCCACCCCCAAATCCTACAGCAGGCGCCTCTGCTGCGATGCTCCATGGGGCACACGGTTTGGCTCACCCCATCCCGTGCCAGGTGCCAGCTACAGGTGTTCTCGAGCTAAGGCACTGATGGCCCATGAGGACAGGACAGTGGCAGCCGGCGGCCAGGGCCAGGCTCCTCACGAGTGCTCGGTAAGTGTGTGGGAACGGGTGGATGGAGGGTGCATCTTTAAACCAGGGGTGAGTTTGCCAAAGCACGGTTCTCTCAGGCTCAGCTCTGGGAGTTAAGGCTGCCCCCAGTGCACTGGGAGGTCCTGGCCAACACCAAGGACGACAGGGCTGTCGGTGGACACAAACGGGCACCCCTAGGCCAGGAGACCCCCATCGTTTCTGCCCTCAGAACCGTCCAGACCATTGGGAAGCTTCTCACAGGCGAGCTGAAAAGAAGGGCCTTGAGTACAGACAAGGGACTCTCACGGTGTCTCTGAATGGCTGCTGAGCAGCAAGGGGACACGGGGGAGTGTGCTCAGGGTCAGAGGAAGATCCCGTGGGTGCTCAGAAGCCCGGGGCTCTGCCTGCCCTCACAGGGGTAAGCCTTCCACAGCTGTGCTCTGGCCTCCTACTTACGCAGGGACGCAAGACGTGTCCACGAAAGCTGCGGGGATGGCGGCGAGGCAGGGTCCTCTGTCCAGGCAGGGACGTCCACCGTGTGAGGAGCAGGCTGCCCCAGCACCAGGTCGGACAGGGAGGAGCTGTCTCTCCTAGAGGTATGTGTGTGCACACGCGTGCGCCTAAGTGTGTCCAGGAGAGACAGAGGAGGTCTCGGAAGACACCAAAGGAGCAAAGTGGAAACCTTTTAATCTTTACACTTCAGGGAGGTTATTTTCCCCAAAGCCCATAGAAGACATTCAGAACGGTTCAGGAATTCACGCCCTAGGACCACCAGGAAGGAGAGGAGGCAGACGCCCGGTACTGGGTCCCCACAGAAGCAGTATGGGTAAGCAGGGCCACACAGCCGGTCACGCTCCCTTCCCAGTCCCCAGGTGGGGGCCAGAGGTGGGAGGCTGGGGCCGGCTCCCACACGCCATCTGGGCCTGAGTCTTGGGTGGCCCCCTATGCCCAGTGTCCACGAAAGCTCATGCCCTCCACCCTGCACCACTGTAAAGCTGGTGGGCTGGACAGCACAGGGCCTGGCCATGTATGGGCTGAAGAGTGACTCATGAGGCCCAACGGCTCCCCGTCTGCAGGGAACACAGAAGACGGGGCTGGAATGGAAACATTTACGCAGCCAAGCCCAGAAGGCGCTACAAAAGCCAAGTCCTGCCAGGGGGAGCAGGAGAGGGAGGGGCTGGCCAAGAGGGAAAGGGGCTGGTGCCTTGGGACAGAGTAGGAAGGAATCCTCCCAAGGGGCAGGGACAAAAAGCAGTTTACCTTCCCGGCACTCGGTCCTATAACTCACTAGATTAACATGGAGCACGGAGCGCGCCTACCACATTCTCACGCGCCTGCAACATTAGGAGCTGGTGGTGGAGAAACAAGCCAGAGCTTGTGGATGATGGGACCCCAGATGACGACTGCCCAGAGGTTCACATCTGAGACTGATGGGGCCACAGGGACAGGGTGCGCTCGGAGACCCTGGCAGAAGGTCGCGCCAGCCAGGCTGAGGACACGGCACAGTCACTGAGCAGAATCCTGACCTCAGAGGCTTATGCTCTTTCCATATAGAAACAGTCTGTGAGCCTTTCTGGGATCACATGTGAAATGAGCACAGACCTGGAAAGGACCCAGCAAAGAAGAACAGCAAAAATTCAGAGACACCGTAAGCATCCGCAGTGGGGTCCCAGCACTCGAGTTGTTACTCATCCACAGGGGTGACAAGAAGGGCCATGCGGACGCAGGGAAAACACTGAACAATCCAGGTGCTCAGTGCCCTGAGCAGAGCTCCCTGGGACGTAAATGCAGGCCCGTGACAACGTACGCGTGAGGAGTGGCTGCTGGAAGAAGGCCCCGTGGAGCAAAAGCTGGACCGCCACCCAGGGCCCGTGGGGGGACCGAGGGAGCGCAAACCCACTGGAAGCCGCCCCGCTCGCTCCTACCATTCTGAAAGCCTATTTAAGGAGCTATAGCCACGAGCTGCTGTAAAGAACACAAAATTCTCAAGGCTCTGGCCTTGGAGCGCTCCCAGGGGACCCCAGTGCTGGACCCTGCAGCCCTTTCATGTGACTCAGAAAAGGGCCCCCGAAACCCTGGTTCTCGGCCCGAAACTGGCACCAGAACAAGGCAGGGGTCTGCCTCAGAGGGTCAGCCTGTGTTCCAGGGGAATTCGGGGCCTCAGCTAAGACCCGTGCTGGAAAGTGTAGGCTCTGGCAGGGATGCAAAACATCACAGGCTCCCAGGCAAACACTGGCAGCTTCGCATCAAGTGAGACACACACTCACAGAAGCAAGCCCAGTGCCCATCAGCAGCCGAACGGATCGGGACGGGGCAGCACACACACAGTGGGACAGCATCCGGCCGGGAGGGAGGACACACTGCCCTTCCGGCAGCACACACGGGCTCGCAGTGCGCCGTGCTCCTCGACGACAGAGGAGGACGAGTCCTGCAGGACATCACATGTCCACTTCTATCCATCGAAAGAAGTTAAACCCATTAAAAAACAGACCAGGGCGCCTGGGGGGCGCAGGCGGCTAAGCATCCGACTCTTGGTTTCGGCTCAGGTCATGATCTCAGGGTCGTGAGATCGAGCCTCGTGTCGGGCTCGCGCCACACTCAGTGTGGAGTCCGCATGAGACTCTCTCTCCTTCCCCCTCTGCCCCTCCCACGCTCGCATGCTCTTTCTCTCTCTCTGAAATAAATAAATAAATCTTAGAAACCAAAAACGAACCAGTGAAAGGGTGGGACGGGGTCAGACGAGGGCACAGATGAGAAACACAAGTGACTAAGCCAGGGACCTGCTGCACAGCTGATGAACACAGACAGTATCACATCGGCCGATCATCAATGCATAAATGTACCAAAGTCACACGCTGCACACTGTACGTTTATAACATGTAGCATGTCAAATTTACCAAATGAAATTTTTAAAAACAAGACCTAGCAATCCCACTCATAAGTATTCACCCAAGAAAAAAGTATTATGCTCACCTACAAAACCGTATGTTCACATATAAAAACCTATGCACGAATATTTGAAGCAGCTGTATTTGTAAGAGCCCAAGCCTGGAAAGAGCCCACATGCCAGTGGAACGGTAGATGCACGGCTGGGATACGACTCAGCGACCCGTGCATCACGGGGGAGTCTCTGACGCCGTCTGCCGAGGCGAAACGTGCCAGACGCAAAAGGCACCACACGTATGGATTCCATTCCTATGACATCCCAGAAGAGTCCGAATGAGAGGGATGGTGCAGGGGTTGCCCGATGTGGCTCAGGGACGGGCTGAGCACCAAGAAATGGCACAGAGGAATTCAGTGGGTGATGGGACCGTCTGTACGCTGCGTGGTGGTGTTTGCCGTATACGCCAAGAAGAGTCACTTTCATCGCATGTAGATTTTTTTTTTTTTAAGATTTTATTTATTTATTCATGAGAGACAGAGAGAGAGAGAAGCAGAGGGAGAAGCAGGCTCCCAAGGAGCAGGGAGCCCGATGTGGGACTCGATCCCAGGACTCTGGGATCATGACCTGAGCCGAAGGCAGACGCTTAACCGTCTGAGCCACCCAGGCGCCCTCATCGCATGTAGATTTTAAAAATGCACAGGTTCTGGGGCACCTGGGTGGCTCAGTCGTTAAGCGTCTGCCTTCGGCTCAGGTCATGATCCCGGGATCCTGGGATCGAGCCCCGCGTTGGGCTCCCTGCTCGGTGGAGAGTCTGCTTCTCCCTCTCTCTGCCTACTTGTGCTCTCTATCTCTCTGTCAAATAAATAAATAAAATCTTTGGAAAAAAAAAAAAATGTACAGGTTCTTGGGCCAAACTGTCAGGCTCCCATCTTGATGCCATCGCTACTACCAGCTACCTGAACGAATGACTCCCTTGCTCTGTGATGTGCTCACGTCCACCACAAAGTGGGATTTCAACTGTTCCTACCTCCTGTGGAAAACTGGACAGTTTGAGGAAATTATTCTGTGTAAACTGCTTCCAACAGCGGCAGCAGGTGGTGAACACCCAGCTTGCCGGCGAAGGCCCTGACTTCCGCGAGCCCTGCCCCCCGTGCGCCCCTTTGCGGGGTAAGCCGCAGGGGCTGGGGCGGGAGGGGGAGGACTGTCAAGGCCAAAGAGAAGCCGTAAGACAGACAAGAGACACGAGAGAATCAGGGATGTGGGTGGGAGTTTGGGCGGAAGAGCGGTCATCACGGACAATTTCATGAGACGATGTCTTACGTGTTTTATTCTCTTTCCGAATAAAACCCAAAAGTGGTGGTGAGGGGAATGCTGGTGGCCAGCCCGGCTCCTGAGAAGGCTCAGCCCAGAGACGCAGTGGGTGGCATGCGCGAGGCCGCAGCGCAGGCGTGCTGGGAGGAGGTTCCGTGCTCCTTGGGCCCAGACGGGGGCAACACCGAGAGCCCACCAACCCTTCCCAGGCTGGCCTCAGCAAGGCCAGGGATTCGGAGGTGCGCCGGGTCTCACCTGCTGGGACACTTCCCTCCTGGGCCCAATCCTGAAGGCATAATAAGGTGCTAGAATTCCACCCTTGGCCCACACAGCCCTGGGGCAAAAGGATCAGAGCCCACACACCTGCGTTAAATCCAGGGGAGGGAGCAGAACCCCACTTAGTATGCTGCTGGGTCACCGGGGGCCAGTGCGCCCCGCCCATCCTTGGGTGACTTCCTTTCCTTGAACGTTCCCCTGCCTGGGAAGGGGTTGTCCTGGAGCCCAGCGTGCAGACGGCAGCACACCCACTCCTGGCTGTGGGCCCACAAGTGCATGACCTCTCACCAGACAACTCACACACCGGATGGATGAGAGTGTGAGGCTGGAGCTCCCCCCACCCCAGGAAGGCTCCTTGCCTCCGGAGAAAAGCACAGGACAAGGCAAGAAGCAGTCAAAAGCTGACGAGTCTGGGATGTGCTCTCAAGGCCAGATTTGGGGACACATACCCTCTGTCCACCTGGCTGGGTGACCCAGAGCCTGGCCACCAAATCAGGTCTCAGAGCCGACTGCCACAAGCAGGGTGGCCTCTGACAACGAGCACCCCCAAAACCACCCGCAGAGAGAGTACGGCTGGCCCCAGGAAGTGCCTGGAACACTGGCCAGAGGCAGGGATCGGACGCCGGCACAGCCCTAGTGCTGTTTCCTGACCTGTGGTCAGTGTTCACAAGATCTTCCTTCCAATTTGCCTCAATTAAAGATTAACATTCCAAATCACTTCCTCTCAGTCGGGTCACTATTCTTAATTTTGAAGTCACTCAGTGTCCTGGCAATTACTCATCACCTTCAGCAGCAGCAGATGGAAAACAGCACAGTTCCCTGTGTCTCTCAGACGAAGCCAGCCAGACACGTACCTGGAGAAATGTGTGCGTTCAAGTCACCTCTGCAGGCCTGTGGGACGGAGAGCAGAGTCAGTCCGCAGGGAGAGCTACTGACGTGACAGAGCAAGCAAGCACACCGAGGCAGACACACACTAGCCCACCTCCACTCGGTGCACCCCATGGCTGTCGGTCAGATGAGGACGTGCATCTGCGTCTGGGCACTGGGCACATCCAGGAAGCAGTGAGAAAGGCCAAGGACACATCTACGTACGCAAGGATGCCGCGTGTCAGACAACCCGTGTGTAATAGAGGCTTCCAAATGCAAAGTCTGCCACTGAGACAGCGCTGGATGTGTGTGGTCAGGAAGAAAGGCCATTCACTTGTGCTCTCTCCTTCGGAAGTCCACGCTGCTCCTGTGTGGTCACGAGTCACTGTGTGACTCTGCCAGCCGGGACCCCAGCCGCCCCCGCGCAGAGCGCGAAAGCTGGCTGTGGGGCCAGGCCCACCGTGAGCATTCCATGAACAGGAACTTTCCAATTTTATTCCTTCAACCTCCTTTGAATGAGTAGCTACGCTCTCTCCCAGCCTCATCTGCTATTTGGTTAAAATTTAAGGGGGAGGATACGTGTATACAGAAATGAAACAATTTCGGTGACAAAAGACCAGCCAGGAAGGCTGTGAGTCTGTCAGCACTGCAATTTAAAGCCCCAAGTCAGGACTTTACAGCTCGGCTCAAGGACCTCCTGGCGCTGAGGTCCTCGGGGGGCCAGCGTCCACACACAGTCACCTTTCCGTCTCCAGAGTCAACACTACGGAGTGCGGTCCCCTCAGGCCAGAGTCCATCAGAATTCCTCTGGGTCCAGAAGCTGGACGGCTGCATGCACACACGTCTTAGAACAATGCGGATTCGGGCCGTTCCCTCCCTGAGGCAGAGGCCCTGACTGGAGTGAGCACGAGGCCCTGGAGGGGCTCCAAATCCGGGTCCTGGAACTCCACTCCCCGGCAATCTTTCACTGACCCCCAATTTGGGGAGATCAGGACCCCTGGCGCACAGGCCTTAGGGGTGGGACTAAGATGTGACCTCATTCCAAGAAGGCGTTTCTCTTATGAGCAGTAAGGTCCTTCTGATGTGGGGGGAGGCGAGGCAGAGGGGTGCCCAGGCCCCTGCTCCAGCAGGCCCCGGCTTGAATTTGCTCCAGAACGCCCACGTAGGGAAGCTGGCTGTCACGGTAATCCCCGTACCCACCCACCTCAGTGGGAGGCCCTCCTTCAGGCACAGGCTCCCTCCCCCTGGGGCAGCCCCTCTTGCCCTTAGCGTGACCCCATGGTGACAGCCAGTAACAGCGCGGTATGCTTCTGTTGCAGCTCAGACATGGCCGGGACGAGCTCCCACAACATGTCGTGGGTCCGGTACCCGAGCCACGTCTCCACGGCAGTTGAAGACGTCATCACTGCGCAGAGCATCGTCTCTAGGTGCCTGTACGTCTACATGGCCCTGTGTGTCCCGGTGAGCTTGGCGGCTGGGCTCTTCAACCTGACCACCTTCATCAAGGGCCGCGCCAGGCGGGGGAGCCTGGACGCATTCCTCTCAGACCTCACGGTCACCCACGTGCTGGTGACGCTGCTCTCCCTCACCACCATCAGCCGGCCAGACTACATGGTCACCACCAACCTGGGCTGTGCCGTCCTCTCCTTCCTGGCCAACGTCTGCTACTTCAACGGGCAGTACGTGCAGCTAGTGATGCTCTTTGCGTTCCTGCTGCAGGGCTCCGCGCCCTGCCTGCGCACGGCCACCAAGGCGGCCCAGAGGCCCGTGGAGAGCCTGGCTGTCATTGGGGGCTGCGCCTTCTGCAGCTCCCTGGGCCTGGCAGCCCTGCTAGGCACAGCTGGGGAGCTGTCCAGAAGCACCCTATGCCAGGTGGACCCGCTGACCGCCTGGCCCGAGTATGAAATCGTCAAGGTCAGCCTGGGCTTCGGGCTGGCCCTGGTCCTGAAGCTGGTGTTCTTCATCCTGCTCATTGTCCAGCTGGCCTGGCGGGCGGCCCTCCCCCAGAGGGATGCGGCCTCCGCTCCCCGAGTCGTGCTGGCCACGGCCCTGACCACGTTTGCCTGCCGCCTCCTCTACAACATTGCACTCCTGCAACGGGCCCGGCTGAAGCTGCAGAGGGACATCGGCTCCCCCAGGGATGAGCTCCTCATGAGCCTGGCAGAGCTGGTCCTGTTTGGGGAGAGCTGCGTGAATTCCCTGGCCATCCTCTTCCTCCACCGGCCTTGCAGGCTGGCACTGCTGAGCGTTTCGGAGCACCTCACCCTACGGTGCAGGAAAGGAGAGCCCAGTGACAGCTTCTCCTTAAAGAGAGTCGAGAGTTAAGGCAGGGCCCCGCCTGCAGCAGACGAGCAAGCCGGACAAGTGAGGGGGTCTTTCTGGCAGTGAGGGAACAGGACCATCTGCTGAATCTCCAGTCTGCATGGTGAGCGCCAACATGGGGTGACGGGATGGCCTGGAAGGCACTGCCAAGTAACTGCCTGGCATTCGGCTCTGCGTACGTGAACGCTCCACACCCTGGCTCAAACCAAACACTTGCAGCTGAAGGAAACCCTGCAAATCAAGGGTGCAGTGACTGTGGGGGCCAAAGGTGGCCAGACACAGGCCTGACTGGGCGGAGATATCCTAAATGCTGGTGGGCAATTCCGTTAGCTTGTCTGCGAGCCGGCATCCTTCTCTGCCCCTGCCCAGCCAGACGACAGAATCTTGAAAATAAATACATTATTCAAAGAACTTTAGGGCCATATTATAACCTGGCCCTAAAGGGTCGTTAACTGGATAACCTTTAACACTGCCAGAAAGTCTGGACCACCTAAATATTGCTGAGAGCAAAGAAGCTTGGTTCTATCTTTTTCTAAATTTATCATCATCACTGGAGGTCTGAGAATATCACCCACACGCTGACCAAGTGTCCCACGGCACTCCCCACTCCCTGTGACCTGGCAGGTGGTTGTTGCCCGTCGTAAGGGCTCTGGGTAGTCAGTGACAAGCTCTGTGTCCAAAGCCCCATCTGCTCTGTTTGACAGCATGTGCAGAAAGGCTGGACCAAACATAAAATACAAAGTTCAGTAGTTAATCTTAATCCAAAATTTACTCTTAACCAGTCTTGCTAGATTTACATTAAGATTTTCTTGGTTGAATAGAGAAAGGAAGCGTGCAAGGGAAAGGTGTCTCTGGTTGTGGGATCCTATTCCTTTGACAGTTTCGGTTTCTCATGAAAACTTGACTGTTCAGAGCAGTTTTAGGTTCACAATAAAATTAAACGGAATTAGGAGATTTCCGCCACGCCCTGCCCCCACACTGATGTCCCCCCGGATGAAGCGTCTGTCACAGCTGATGGATCTACATCGACACATCCACAGCTCACGTCTGGGCTCACTCCTGGTGGTGTACATTCCATGGTTCGGATGGGTCTACACGGACACGTATCCTCCATTATGGCATCACAGAGTACCCACTGCCCGAAAAGCCCCTGTGCTCTGCCTCTGCATCCCTGCCCTCCGCCCCTGGCACCCCCCCATCTTTACTGTCCCCGCAGTCCTGCCTTTTCCGGAATGCCCTATGGCTGGAATCCTAGTCCAGTGCCGGCTCACGCTGGCTTCTGTCACTTAGGAACACGTGTGTCGGGTTCCTCCAGGTCTTTGTAGCTTGTTTCTTTTTAGGACTGAATAATACTCTGCTGTCTGGACAGCTTCTATTTTATTTTTTTTT